TCTGGTCTCTGGAGTCTGAGTCTAGACTCTTTCCCTTAGCTCACGGGGCATACCTGAGGCAAGACCTGCAGTGAAGTTCACTTTTCCCTTGTCTGGTGCCTCTTCTCTAAGCAGGATGTCTCTAAACATCCTGGAGCATGGCCTCTGCTGTGTGGGGAGGCCCTGAGCCTCTTTTTCGTACAGGAGAGTGGGCTTAGCCTCTTTTCTCCTCCAGTTTTACTGCTCTGTTCTAGCCAGATATACTCTTTTGCCAAGCTGTGTGTTACATCCTGACATGCCCGGCCTGTTCCACATCTTGGCTCTATCCTACCAGTCTGATCATCAAACTATTTGACTAGGTTGTTTTCCTGGGGCTGCTCCCCCACACCGAGGTGCACAGAAGCTTCCCCCCATCCCGGTAGCTTCTGGTAAATCTTGATTCTACCTTGCACTGAGGTAGTTTCTGCAAGCCCTGTCTCCACATCCCGTTCCTCATCTCTTGAGCCTAATGTGCCCTTTGAAGAAGGCAGGAGACAGTAATGTGCAATGGAGACTCCATGGCCCAAGTTTAAGGGGCTCCAGAACAGATGAGTCTCTGCTCTATGGACCTCTCTTTTCTGATGACCATGTTGGGCTCTGGTCACCTCGCACAGTCTGATGTATCTCTCTGTGTCCCTGTTTCCTCCTTGCCAGGAGAGGCCTGGAGAGTGGAACCTAGGGTAAGCCAGAGCTCTCTCTGCTTGTCTCCACTTGCAGTAACCTCCAGCCATGTCCCTGTGCCTTCAGAGTACTCCTCCTAGCCTAATTTAACATTCAGTTCTCAGTTTAGGCTCTGGAGCCTTTAGAGGCAGTCTCTGTAGCCACTGAGTGTCCCTTTCCAGACATGCTCCCTGACCCTACTTGGGTGTCTGTCCTAGAAAAGAGAAAGGACACCCCTTATCTGAACAGTTCCACCCAAGATCTTCAGGACTAAGCCATATCTGACTGGTGGGACGCTTTCTGCTGTGTACCCTAGGATCACCCACCTCCCCCAGACTCAGGGAGAGTAGAGAGGAAAAGATCCCCAGAAAGAGAAAACAGACTTTCCCAAGAGAGAAAAGGAGGAGGGCAGGCTGGGAAAGATCACGAGATCCACTTACCTAGGACGGTGAGATGGGTCCCGCCGCCGAAGATATACCACAGTGATAGAGGCTCAGACCAAAACCCGCGGGGCTAGCACCTGGGGCCTGCTCCCTGGGGCGTAGGCTGCAATGGGAATCTAGTAGGCGTGACGGGTGGGTTGTGTCCTCAGCAGTTATTGGGTGTGTGGTCTGCCCCCTAGAGACCTGCCTTCTTTTCCAGACGGGCACTGCCCACTGCCATGTGTGCCCTCTTTTCCATGAGGCTGTTAGTGCTGACAGCAATTTCCCATTGCAACTTCCCTACCAGCAATTTCCCTAATTTCCCATCAGAAAGGGGAGGTCCCTAGTAGGTGCTAAGTAAATCTCTGAGAGATATATCCATTGGCTGTATGTTTTGGTCAAGAGTCCTCAGCTGGTCTGAACTTGCTGAACTTTTCTTGTCCTCATGTTAGGGATTTTAAATCTTCTCCCCACAAGTCCCAAGCTAGGCCAGCTTCCTCCCTGAACCCATGGATACTGGGTCATTCCTAACTTAAGGTACTACCACATGGAAACTCTTCTACTTGCATTTCTGTTCGTGGAGATGTCACTCAGGTCCCCCTCATTCATAAACTCTTTTCTGATCTCTCAGACCACCCTTTCCATTAATTTACCCTTTCATTTATCCACCCATCCATCCACTTGCATAATCATCCATTCATCTGTCTGTTTCATTGTTTCTTTTTCAATTATCCATTCACCCAACAGCGGCTATCAAGCACCCATCTATGCCTGGCACTGTTTTGCATGCCGGGATATGGTAGGGTTTCTCTGCTTCATATTTCCCTGAAATTTCTCAAGTCAAGACCCTATTCCAGTCAAGTCTGCAGTTCCTTGAAGCTACTCAGCTGTCTCTGCAAGAGGCCCCTCTTTCTGTTCATACTCCTCTCTTTGGTGATTCCCTTTCTCCTTGGCCCATGGATGGCTGCTGACTTTCAGATCATCACTTAAGTTTGCTTTCCCTGTGCTTTCTCCACTATCTCTGCATCTGATCCTCACAATTACCCCTATAATTACCCAGGGACCCTAGATCCCTATTTAGTCCTGACTTTTCTAATCTTCAGATTCATATTTATTTTAACTTTTAAATCTATCTCTGCTTAAATATCCCACAGGAACCTCAAATTCAACAGACCCAATAAAATTAACTTTCCTGCAAAACTGATCTTTTATTTTGTCCTCATTTCAATAATTACTATCTGAGCCAGAGGCCTGGAGTCATGTGTTACCACCATTGAATCACCCTCTGTATCCTAGATATTCGAACACAGCACAACATCAAAATACTCTAAAAGAAGAAGAAAAAACACCCAAATCTCACTCTAAGAAAGAAATGATCATGGCAGAAACCCTCAGGTTTTCCAAATCTGATTTTATCTCCTAAGGAAATTTATTTATATTAGAAAAATACATACTGCATTGGAGGCAGCATTTCTTTTTTTACCTTAACAGCACAACTATTAGCTACTATTGTATTAAAAGTAGGCACATAAGACCGTTGAGACAGAATTTAATATAATAGCAATATAAATCCAACACTTTTTTCTGAATAAAGACAACAAACATTCAGCATTTGGTTAAGTTATTGAAAGAAATTTCCTCAACTCATTAAACAGTATGTTCCAAAATTTACAACAACCTTAAAACACAAAGGCAAAACATTTAAGTCAGGAATAAGGCAAGTTTGATTACATATGCTTTTATTATTCAGCATATTCTACAGATCCCAGCCAATGGAGTGAGATTAAGGAGGGAAAAATGCATAAAAGTATTAAGAAAAAAAGAGAGCAAATTGTTTGTTGCAAATGATGTGTTGGTCTACTAAAATAAACAAACACAGCCAAATGAATAAACCAAAGAAACATTAGAACTCATTCAGGAATTAAAACTGTTCACTATAAAAGTTAACAGACTTCTCTGTTACATAAGCAGTAACCATTTAGGATATGAAATTGTTAAGAAATTTACAACCTCAATAAAGTTATGTTAAAGATATACTGCAAGTAAGCAACATAAAATGTGCAAGTTCTGCATGAATAAAATATAAAATTTCTCTACTAGTAGATATAAAAGTGAATGAATGGAGAGAATTTTGTGTTCTTGGCTGAAAATGCTGAACATATATAGGCACGAGTTCTCATACTAATCCTATATTCCATGAAATTATAAGCATAATAGCAAAAGGATGATTTTTTTCATAATTAAGGGTCTGATTCTAAAGTTCAGTAGTAAGAATGATGGAGAATAGACAGGAATATTTGGAACATAGTAATAATCACAGGATTTTTCTCTATCAGATACTAACCAACACATGCTACAAAGCTAAAATAAACGGGATGGAACAATGTAGAAATATAACAGCAGATCAAGGGAACCACAGAGAGCATGCAATAGATCAGTCATTTAGCATTTGATAGAAGACATATTTATATTTAAAATGTGTGATTGGCTTTTCATCTAGAAAATAAATAAGATTATATTTCTGTATACACAAAATAAACTCTAGATAAAGTTAAAACAACACAAATCAAAGCATCAAAACAATGAAAGTACCAGAATACAATAGGAAAATGATTTACAATATTAAAATAAATGACTTTCTTATATATGGTACAAACCATAAAAAGCAGAAAGAAAATATCAAACCAATATGACTCATAGAAAATTAACGACTGCTTTATGGTGAAAGACCCCATAAACAAAAGGCATAAAATAGATCAGGGAAAAATTTACAACATAAAAACTAAACAAGGGGTTAATAGCCCAAGCACACTAAGAATATCTATAGATATAGAAGATAAGAGCAACTGAATGGAAAAGCAGGCAATGGAATGACCTATTAATCCACAGAAAGAACAAAGGCAGTCCATACAACATGTGAAAGCATAAACAGTTTCTTCAATGATCAAATAAATAATACAACAACAAACACATTCTATTTTTGCTTAATACCCAGGCAACATAAAAGAAGATAAAAAATATCAGATTTTGAGCAAGAATGAAGGAGAAAGGGCACTGTTATTCACTGTGTAAGCGTAAACTAGAACAGTCTTCCGGAGGCATTATGAGAATTACATTTACAATTTGAAAAGTTGTTCTCTATGATTGGAAAATTCCACTTTTAGGCATCTATTCTTTGTAAGCACATAAGTGTGATCTATCTATACACACACATAAACAGGAATGTCTATTATGGGATTACTCATATAGCTTTAGTGGAAAAAACAAATGTCCATTAATAAGGGAATGAACACAAAATTCTGTTTCATCCAAACTTTGCCTAGAAAGTTATTTATGAGAATATGGTAGTAGATCTATATGGACTAATATGAAAAATACCAGTAACAGGTTGTTTAAAAAGCTAGTTGCAGGATAAAATGCAGAGCATGGCTTGATTTTTGAAAATAGAATCTCAACACCAATTATGTCTGTGTGTGCGATTTAGGGACACACACAGAGAAAAAGTCTAAGTTAATAGACCAACACAACAGTGGTCATTGCCAGGGAACAGGTTTTGGGGCAAAAAAGTAAGAGATCTTAAGAGATGTTTATATACTCTTTATATACTTCTGTGCTCCATATCTGCACACATATATATTCATTCATACATACATTTTCAAAAAGCACATGTATATTTACAAAAACATGTGTTACTCTTGCATTAAAATTATTTTTGATGGGCCAGGGATCTAGCTCAGTGGCACAGCACCTGCATGGCAAGCGTGAGGTCCTAAGTTTGATTCCTGGTACCAAAAAAATTTTTTTTGAAGAAAAATATTTCTTCTTATGAACATGGTAATAAGAGCAGAATAATAAAATTAAAATTAAGCAAAATCCCACCAGCAAGAGCTACATGACTGAAAATGTTCTATATTTGAAAAATGCACATATACTTTAAGAAAGCCAGTGTAAGCATTTCTATCTTTAAAAAAAACAGATTTCTTCATACTAGAGATGCTTCTGAAGAATTTTTTATGAGACTGATGTCTTTATTTTGATGATAATAATAAACCTTTATTGAGTATTAACTTTATGCCAGATTTTGTTTTTCAGAAACAGAAATTTGTAGGTTTGTGGAAGATTCCTTAGGATGGATGTGCTGTTCTGTGCCTGTGATACTCTTTTTCCTGGCTATTCAAAGGTTTCCCCATTTTCTCCTCCCCATTAATATTGAGTTCACCAATATTAATGGGGAGGAGAAAACCTTTGGTTTTCTGGTTTGTAAACCTTTGGTTTGTAAACCTTTGGTTTCACCTCCTCCCCCAACCCCAAGATAAATCCCTAGAAGTGGAATTACACGTTTTTGATAAACACAATTTCTTTATGGCTTGTTGCCTATTGCTATAATGACTGTACAGTTAAATGCCTAGAGACCGTCTATGACAATGTCTAGTCTTCCCTGGTCAGTGCTCCTGGATCTCTGCTTTAAATGTACTTGCCACTTTCCTAGCAATCTTGGAGCCTAGTCACCATGTGGACCTGCATGTCCTTCCCATGGAGCCTGTGGTTCTTCTTCACCACCTCCCCAAATGTGGCTGCTTCCCTCTCTCCATCTGTCTCAAATTTGGCTTTATACCAGGCTGAGATCTGGAACCAATTTTTTCAAAACAATTAAGTTGCTCCAACACCTCCTTTAGAACTACAGGACAAAGGCCAGGAGCACAGGCCCTTGAAGGACCTGCCCCTGCTCAAGGAGCTCCCTGACACTGGTGTGGTCCACACTTTCCTCTCCATGCACTGCTACCTTTGCTGGAGGCTACCATCACCAGCCAGTACCCCTGGACCTGTGAGACCAGCTTGGGAATCTGCCCACAGAGGGAACATCTTTCCTCCCTGTTTATTGCCCCTAAAACAGGGCCTGGGACAGGCCCCCTTAGTTCAGACCCACAGTCACAATGCCCAGGCCTGGCCCTCAGTAAATGTTTATAAACAAATGAGGCACTAGCCTTGGCACAAACAACTCAGGAACTGGGATAAGTAATACTTCAGTGCAACACTGAAAAATAAAAACACA